GCGGTGTATATATAACTTTGACTGTAAATGTGAATTTAGCGGGTAAATGGTTAATATTTATCTCGAATCGCGTATTTTGAATCGTTGTTCATTGGAACCAAGCATTCGACGTGAATGCACCCGTAGTTCCCAATTTCTATTTTAGAAATACTATATTGGGGTTCTTATCAGCGGGCGGTGCGTATTTCGCGGAGTTGATGTCTGATTTCTTAAGAAAATGGCGTTGCATCACCATATACACTTCTATCAGCTCTGGTGGTTAATACTTGCTTTGCCAGATTTATTAACTTCTGTTTACCATAGAATCCTCCTTCTGCGGTTTTTCATTTTACAGATTAAAATTGAATTGCAAGAAAGGTTCCCCCCCTTAATATTATTCGCACGTTGCAATATTATAAATTAACTTCCTATTCTACGCAATAAACAATAAAATGGGGGGGGAGTACAATGCAAGAGGTATAGTCCTCTGGTTTCTAACTTCTATTAGTAAAAATACAGTAACTATAGTTTAGTATTTATTTATTATTTATTTATTTATTTTTTTGAGAAATTATTAAATCAAAAGAGCGTTAGCGATTTTGCCTCGTCCACTATAAGCGGCGTATTTTTTTTTAAATTGTTGCCACCAAGTATTATAACCCTGTAATATATTTAAAGTAATTAAATGATGAAGCATTTGCATGCATGTATGTATGCTTCTCGCATTGTTAAAAAAATCTGATGTGTACACCACATGACTTCCTTGTACGGAATTTTAAATTATACGCATTTTTTTCTTGAATTTCATTTAAATTGATTGGATTGAATAAAATCTACTTCGTCGACAGCGCATAAACCATAAAGAAACAGTTTTTCACAGACGATTTAGTATTTCTCGTTCAATTAATTCCGTTCTCACTTCGCGACTTCGCTACATAAAAACTCAAAATATCTGTATTAAAAATTACGAAGTAAATCTTAAACACTTATTTGCTCGAAAAAAATTCCAAAAGGGATGAAGCATGATTTAATTCGCAATAATAAAGAAGGCGTTATTTTTGTTGTTGCGAAGCTTAGTCTCTCCAGATTGGCAACAAATCTACCAATTCTGCTGTTTCAAATGTAAACAAATATGTTCGCCATCTTATTTAAAACTTAACCGCACTTAAACAGCTTTTAAATTGTTGATAATTGTACAAATATTGCTTCCAGAATTACGAAAGGCATAAAAACCTTAACCGGAAGATAAAAACAACATAATTCAATCATTTTTAAAGCAAAAAATGTACAATTTACAAACATATAAGCACTGAGATCACTGTGCCGAGTAACAGAGTGGATATATATATAAATATATTTATAAACGTTTGGTGCGGCCGATTGCAACCAAAATACGAGGTGCTCATCTACATGTTATAGCAGTCCTATGTACAAAATTTCAACGTTCTGAGGCTACTCCTTTTTGAGTTATGAGAGATACGTACGTACATTCGTTCGTACAGACGCCACTAAAAATTCTCTTCTGAATTTATTTTAAAGCATTTTAATAATTTTTTTGGAGGAAAACGAGTCTTTTATTCTATCCTTACGTACAGATATCACGCAAAAACATCGTTAAATTGCATTAGATAGCGGTCAAAATGGATATATTTTCATTGAAATATGCTGCCTGAAACTTTTCGCGATTACAATACTTCCCATTTACTTCGTACAATAAAGTAAAAAGGACGGTACCTAGATCCATAAAATTTTGAATAACGTAAACCTCCACCCGAACGTGTGCACCTGGAAGCCCGAATTTGTTTTATTATCTATTTCATGTTTTGTAACACCTTAACGAAACTCAACGATCTTAGCGAGCAATGGCAACACTCTGCGAGAGAGAATATTTTTATCTCAAGTGCGCGAGACTGTCTAACGGAAATAGTAAAGCTATGCTGTTTTTAAATATTTGTGATATTGTGAAAATTACCTCCGGAGTGGTATCGAAAATTCGAGCTCGGTAGATTGTGTATCGAAAATTCCAAAGATATGCTTTTTAAAATTATTTTGCGATATTGCTGTTGAATTGAATTTTAGGGTTTAAGTGCGAAGAATATGATATTTGATAAATAAAGGTAACACACAAAACGCTAAAAAACGCTCCTTTGGGCATAATATAAAATCTGAAAACTTTCGGGAATGAATTTGTAAGAGCCTGAACGTTTATGATTTTAGGCTCTAATATTAATAATTATTTATAGAAAACACACGAGAAATATACTAAAAAGTGTACTAACCAATTTAAAAAGCAAATTTTAAGGTTTATTTATTTTACCTTTTCTAAATTTACAAAATGCTGATACATATTTAAATACATATGCTGCATTATTCTTATTTCTAAAAGTTTTTTATAACGTCGTATATTTCATGCCTGGAATAGAACAGTTCGATTTTTATTACTTTGTACCACCATACCGTTCATTATTTTAAAGACACTTGCAAAGGAATTATAGTTTTCAACCAGTTCTTATTTCTGATAGCAAATATACTTTATTTGTGTACAAATTATTGTGTACTAGTGTGTGTGTCTGACTATTGTGTACAAATTTGTAAATTTTAGTTTCATTTACAGTATGGAATGGAAATTAAATATATATAAAAGTTCCCTTTTCTTATTTGCCCAAAAGGACGTTAGACCCAAAAGGCTTTTAGTCTCAAAACGGCATTTTGCGTCATTTCAACTTTCTGCGTTGATTCACATTTCAAACTGTTGCCACGAAATATTATCGCCCTGTATTATATTTAAAGATATTAAATAATGAAGAAGTTTCATGAATGTGTACATGTTTCTCTCATTGTGAAAAAACAACGGTAAATTTATCTCAAGTGCGCGAGGCTGTTTAACGGAAATTCTAAAGCTGTGCTGTTTTTAAATATTTTGTGACATTGCTGTCGAATTAAATTTTATGTGATTTAAGTGCGAAGAACATGATATTTCATAAATAAAGGTAACACACAAAACCTTAAAGAAATGATCCATAGGGCGTAACATAAAAACTGAAAGCTTTCAGATTTTTTTCATTTTTTAAATAATATTTTTCTTCCTAAACTTAGCGGGAAATGTTACTGTTCTATGAGAATTGCAGTATTTGATCTTCAAAACTTTAGCAGTATGAAGATTGTATTACTATTATTGTTGTTAGTAATAGTAGCAAAAACTGGGGAAAAAAAAGCTGTATATATGTCTTGATGAACTTCTAAAATTCATATTATTAAATTTTGCAGTGTATAATTTGCTTGGCAATACAATAGTTTTTTTTTACCTTGCCATGAAATTGATAGTTTGTTGACAATCTATTTCTTCCGTCTTGAATAGAGCAAGCAAACTATGATCTTAGGTAAAATAAATAAAACAAAACTGAAAATTCGCTGATTTGATTTTTCTGGTTGTAGTATTTTTGTCATTAAGTTTTTACCTGTCAAAAAGATGTCAATAGTTTTGACGAATTTTCTGACTCTTCTGTTTCATTGTTTGTTCCCCTTTGCTTGACTCGGCTGTTATTCAACTGGACATTGAACTTTCCTCGAACGAAATATAAATGTTCAGAAAAGATCCTTCGCCCATCCTATGTTGTCTGACTTTAGGTCAATAAAATTTACCCGCTTTTATTTCTCTAAAGCAGGTGCACTGACTATGATCGTATGTTTGTTTTTCTTCCCTACCCTGCCCCTTTTTCTGTTCTATTACTCCTCGACTATCGTAGAATAAACTCGCTTTTGCGTAGAAAACTATGTTATTTCTACCAAAAAGGGATTTAGTTTCGCCTTTTTTATTGATATTTTAATTCCGTGAGTTATCGATTATTCCTTGAGAAGTTGTCGTTTTATCGATATCGTAGAACCCTGTCTGACCGTGGAAAGCGGTGATTGGTTTCAATGATCAGCTTATGAAAGGCCAGAAGGGCTATCAATTTCGTTTTGCCATTTTGCGTCGAAATCTTTAAGTGTCGAAGTCTTTAAGCGTCGAAATCTTTAAGTTTCACTTTTCAGATTGTTGCCACCAAAAATTGTCGCCTTGTGTTATATTTAAAGAAATTAAATAATGAAGAATCTGCATGAATGTATGTTTGTTTCTCGCATTGTGATAAAACAACGGTACCTAGAGCCATCCAATTTTGAATATAATCTTTCGCCGAATATAGGCATTTGGAAGCCCAAATTTGGAATTTGTTTTACCATCGGTTTCATATTTTGTAAAACTTTAACACGAAATTTTGATTAACAAACTCAGTGATTTCAAAACGATCAATGGCAACACTTTATGGGGGAAAAAAAAAAAAAAAAAAAAAAAAGAGACCTCCAGCGTGCGAGATTGTATCGGAAATTCTAAAGATATGCTTCTTTTAAAATTATTTTGCGAAATTGCTATTGAGCTGAATTTTATGGTTTAGGTGCGAAGAACATGATATTTAATAAATAAAGGTAACACACAAAACGTTAAAAAAGAGCCCTTTCGAGCATAATATAAAATCTGAATTTATTTACTTATTTATTTATTTATTTGTTGATGCTGCTTTGATAGTCTTTTTTTTTTTTTTTTTTAAATCTTGTCTGTATTTTGAAGTTACTGTTTAGAATTTTTTTGTTTTTGAATTTAGTAGCACCATTTCAGATTAGTAAATTATTTTTTTTTAATATTTATTTTCGTGAATTCTTAAGAAATTGATTCAATTGAATTCGTATAATTTCTAGGGCATGTAATTCAAAAGTTGCTTTACCGTTTCGGTAGAAATATGTGAAAAATGGTACTAATAGTTAAATGTTTAATAGTTGAATATTAATTTTCTTATCATTTGATTAGTTTCTGGACCCTTCGGTATTGATACCATAGTACTTCAATTGATGTCTGCTTGCTAAAAAAAATGCGATTTGTTAATTTACCAAAAACGAACGTCAGCTTTTTATTTTTTAACTTCCAGATGTTTCATATAAATCTTGCATTAATAAATATGTATATATATGTATATTTTTCCTTTCAGGGTGAAGAAAATGGATGTTGAATTTTACAGTGACCAGAATTTGGATGCTAGAAATTACTTTTCATCCCTGAAAAGCTTCGAAATGAACATGGCCAGCAAAAACCCTCGCGTACCCAAGGTAATTTCTTAAAATTCAAAGATTTTGCAACTAAAATTATTGCTTTGTTCATTTTAGTTTGTGTGCGTGTTCCCAGCTTTGACTGATAATGCATTTAAATGAAGTCTCGATGAATTTGTTGCTGCTATAATTATGGATATTTTGTTAATCTTATAATATAATATCAAGTATAATCGTGTATTATCTATGAATGTTAATGATGTTTCAGAACTTGCGAATACGTTGGTAGACGAACAATGAATCATTTTAAGTAGCGTTACAATGTTTTTACTTCCTTGTACGAAGTAAAGAAACTACTGTAAACCGGAAAATTTTGGGGGTATCAGAATCCACTTGAAGGATTTTTTTGTCTGACGTCTGTTCACGGACAGAATAAAGCAAAAGCGAATACCCGTAGAACTTTGAAATTTTGTATATGGCACTGCTATAACATGTAGTTGTGCACCTCCCTTTTTAGTTACAGTCGGCCCCACCAAACGCATGTATCTCTTTTTATGAGTTTTTATATTTATTGCTACTCTGTCACCCGGCTCGGTGAGCTCATTTTTTTATTCTTATATGTTAGTAAATTGTTCATTTTTTGCTTTAAAAGTGATTGAATTATGTGGTTTTTATGTTCCGGTTAAAGCTTTTATGCCTTTTATTAATCTGCATGCAATAGTTGTAGAATTATTAACAATTTAAAACTTTAAGTGGCGAGTGAAGCCTGATGAACTGCCATTTGTTTACATTTCAAACTTAGTTGAATAGTGAATTATGTCAGCTTTTGCACATTCAGTGTCTTTCTGCCGAGTGAAACCAGAAGTAAACTTTCAATTTTGCGCACGGGAAAAGTCTGCCTTCTTGGTCGTTGGCTATATTGCTTATTTTTGCGTGGAAATTTTAATTTTAATTGTACTTTTTTTTTAAAAACTGTTTTGACTGTATTTGGTGTTTTATGTTTTCCTGTATTTTACAGTTTTTTAAGGAAGATGTTTTGAGTTTTTATGTATTTTTGCTTTACCGAGAAGTGAGAACTGAATTAATTGAAAGAATGAAATTGAAAGAATTTCTGTAATGAAATTCGAGGAAATAAGTTTAAATGAAATACAGCAAAAGATGTGTATAACTTAATATTCTCTATCGTTAGTTAAGAAGTTCGTAGTTAAGAAGTGTGCGTAGTTAAGCTTCTTTATCGTAGTTAAGAAGTGTATAACTAATTCTTTATCGTAGTTAAGAAGTGTATAACTTAAGGGGTATCAGAAACCCGTATACCAACAATGTTAGATTGGCCATTTTCGATGTATCTTTTCTCAAAATCTGCTGTAGATACAAGCTTGAAATTTTTTCTGTAATTAAAGTATACCTATCTGATTATACTGAAGTGAGCTTTTGAAGCATTTTGAATTTTAGAGTAAATTACAGAATATTTTGTTAGGCATAGTAAAATTTATCACTTTTCTCGCACAAAAAAATTATAAAAAAAATTATTTCAAGTTTATTACAAAAAGCTCATTTCAATAAATATTAGGGAACCTAATAAATAAGCCATAAAAAGTTTAGATACCTGTGAGCACTAGTTCCTGAGAAAAAGTACATCGAGTATAAAAAAATCACGTTTGGAGAAAAACGCGTTTTTATGTAAAAATCCTCATTGATCCAAGCAGTAGATGACAAATTAAAACTAGATTTTTTTACTGTTCTAATTTTCATAGAGATTAACGAATGGTATTTTTAGAAAGATAAAAGTGTAGAGAATTTGAAATGCAAAAATCCGAAATCACAATTTTTTGAAGATTTTGGGGTTCCAACACCCCTCTAGTTAAGAAGTGTATAACTTAATTCTTTATCGAAGTACATGCAACCATTTAATCGATTTTCTTATAGAAAGTCGTCAGTATATGAAACTCGGTGCCAATGAAACGTAATAAAATATGAATACGTATATAATGAGTCACGTCCTTCCTTCCTCAGATGAAGTTTGTAAATAAAACTTAGAGCTTCGTTATCCAGCATTAGAGAAAACATACTCAAAGCACTTGTCCGGAATTAGACATTGCTCAGCGGATTAATGCCTAATCTAATATCACGAGTGTTAAAAATGATTCATTTAAACTTGAGGGTCAAGTAGTTCAGGACAGTCTGTGACCGGATATTGTTAATTGGCACTCCGGATGCCACCGAGATCGGTCGTATAGAGAATGTTTTTTTAAATAATCGATGCATGTTTTCTTTCCTAGTGATACTGATTTTTTTTAATCGTTCCTTTTCCGTAGCCAAGAGCGTTTTCCTCCAAGTCTCCCATAAGCTATCTTCTTCTTCTATTTCTTTTTTTTTTTTTTTATATGTTTTTTTATCACATGATTAATCTTGAAACGTCGTATGTGGCCATTTGGTTTTTCACGCCTCCTTACTCCGTTTTCGTTGTATCTTTCAAGTATTCGATAATGGTAGTTTAAGGAGTGTTGAATGAGAATGTAGCCGCTTTCGTTTTCAGCTTTGCCGCTTACACAGGGTGAACCCTCTAATTTTTGGAATTTAAATCGGCTATAAATGTTACGGTGAAACACCGAAATCTGGAGAATGTCGACTTTCACCGGTGAATGTCAACATTCACATAGTCTCTTGGTGTATGTTCGAAATATTTTCCAAATACTCTTATTTCTGACTTAACCGGTCAATGTCGACATTCACCATGCACTAATGGTGAATGTTGAACATATAACAATATTATATTTTCTTCTCCGTCATTCAGTCGCGAATAAACGTACTCGAGACTTGAAATAAGAACTTAAGAACATGAGAACCTAAAACACACAATACATTCAAAATGAGAAAGGAAAATAATAGAAGTTAAAAACTTACTTAATTATACAGTAAGTTCTAAATGAGAAAATAAAATAACAGTCATAAAAAACTTACTAAATTATGCGAGTCAAATCTTATTTATTGCAACAACTTAAACTATTATGGCACTTTATGACCTCTCTTTTCGACTTTCACCAGAGCTTATCTGTGATTGGCGACATACACCGGTGAAGGTCCGAATATACAAGAATGTAGTGCAATATTCGCTCTTTCACCGAACGTATTTGGTGAATGTTGATATTCTCCGGTGAAAGTCGACATTCTCCAATTTCGGTCTTTCACGGTAACATATATATAAATGTTTTCAAAATTATGACTGTATTAGGAAGATTGACATTTTCATTGAAGAATGAAACACAACACCATTCAAATGACTGCCACGGCTGACTTGACATTACCGCAAACAATCAAACCAATTTTTCAGTACATTTTCGATTTTTTGAGCTCCAATCGCATGAATGGCAACTTCGACTTCGTGTTTTAAGGCATCAATCGTCTCTGGGTGGTCTGTAGAGACATTAGAATTTTTTGGAAGCAGGCAAGATGAAAAATTAGCAAACTCCTTCGCCGGGAATCGAACAAGGACTTCTGAAATACCAGCCCAGCGTGCAGAACCACTACACCACGAGGGCACGCTAGGAAAGTGGGAGATATACCTCATAGGTTAGCGTAACACTTATCCCTAAGGGTTCCGAATAAAAAAAAAAAAAAAAAAAAAAAAGGTCAGAGTGTCCTTGAAGGACTTTTGTTTTCGTTTTGCGATTTTGTGTTGAATCACTATAAACGGCGAATCACTTTTCAAACCGTTGCTACCAAATCTTAGAGTCTTGCATTATATTTGAAGAAATTAAATAACGAAAAATCTGCATAAATGTATGGATATTTCCCGCACTGTGATAAAACAACGGCACATAGAACCATCGAATTTTTAATGACGTAATTCTTCACCGAATTCGGGCATGTGGAAGACCAAATTTGAAATTTGGAATTTGTTTTAAAATCGGTTTCGTATTTTGTAAAACTTTAAACGATTTAAAAGCGAGCAATGGAAACACTCTAGGGGAGGAATCTCTTTATCTGCCTCGGAAATTCTAAAACTATGCTCATTTAAAAATTATTTTGCGAAAATGCTATTGAACTGAATTGTATGGTTTAAATGCGAAGAACATGATATTTAATAAATAAAGGTAACACTAAAACGTTAAAAAAACGCCCCTTTGGACATAATTTAAAATCTGAAACCTTTCAGATTTTTTTTGGGGGGGAGGGGTGAACCCTTATGGATAAGATTCACCCAGAGACGATTGATGTCTTGTCACGAAATCGAAATTGCTATTCATGGGATTGGAACCAAAACAATCGAAAATGTACTGAAACATTGGGTTTATCGGATGGGGTAATGTCAAGCCAGCCGTGGTAGTCATTTGAATGATGTTGTGTTTCATTCTTAAATGAAAATGTTCAGTCTTTCTAATAAAGTCATAATTTTGAAACAATATTCATTAGTTTTTTTTATAGCCGATTTAATTTCCAAAAGTTAGATGGCCGCCTTTTATTAATAGAAATGCAGTATTCGACTGTGGAAATAAGGAACAGAAATCAAATTTGATATCGGCTTTAAAACTGTTGTTATAGTAAATTGCTGTTTCGGAGAAAAGCAAGCAGAAATCAGTCCAGTGGAAAGTTTTCATTTAGAAACCATGTGCAGTTAATTTATTTTATATATGTATAATGTACTAGAGAGGGTGTTTACACATTTTTTTAGAATGATTTCGATAAAGAATTTAAAAAAAGCAAATGTTTTCGAAAAAGTGTTTTTGGCAACAGCTTGTTATTTGCATCGTCTGCTACTTTTACTACTACTAATATATTTATTCTTCTTTCAAAATGTCGCGTGTAAATAAGCTTTGGATTGAAGGATATGTTTTTCATCTTTCCGATGAGAAATATTCCTGATTCATTATTCAAACGATGTGAAATGCATAGTATTAAAATTTTTAAGACGTCGACCTACAACCGTCCTTGGACTTTGGAAAGCTGTTCAAGAGAAATGGAATAAAATACCTCTTCCGATACTGCAAAAGGCTTTATGTCGTGGAAATTACGGTGTTCAAAGATAGTGAAGAATAAAGCTTATCAATTAGAACATTTAA